TTCGTTTAGAGAAAGTGTTTGATGTAAGACGGGACAGAGTTTGTTATCCCTGGAAAATAATGTTAATGAAATGGTAAACAATGCGAAATGGCTTTCTCTCGTAGGGGAACAAACACACGTCACAACTAAACCACTTTATAATCCAACATCTAGTGGCCAATGGCAATACACAGAAAATTGTGGATACCATGAGTTCACAGCGTCAGGTTTATACTTGTAAGGAAGCAGGAGCTAAATTGTCACCTTCTTCTCGAAAAATTAAAAGTTCTTATCTATCTTAACAGCACTTGAAAGCGATGAGAAAACGGTTCTTTGGATAAGTGATGCTAATACGGTGTCAAAAAATTCTGTAGAAAATAACCCTATATAAATAGGGGCCGAAAATTCTTTAAGGAAATCTGCAGTGCCACAGTTCATTCCAGTACTGATGAGCACGTTAGCCTAATTGTTAGGGGAAATCACTTGAAAACCACCATCCATATGTTAATATAAGTTGTTAGTCCTACAACGTCTCCAAACGGTTTAAATAAGCGCTAGTTTGTGGAAGAAAACATAGGTGTTACTGTGTCTGAACGGTACTCCAAGGAACGAACTTGACGAACGACACTTCTGCATCTATTCATTGTATTTATTTCGACATTTCGCAATTTGCTCAGTAAAAAATAGTTAAGAAAAAGTAAAAATTTCGGACGATAAGTAGAGCAGGTAACATTGGCCATTTGAAGACCAGTGGAGAGCTTGTTGTCATAGAAATGCTTCCACATATTTACTGAACATATTCCGGTAATGTTATTTGTCTACCGCCTATTATAATTTTTCATGGCAGATGTGATACAATCACAACGATGCTGAGATATTTGAAAAATTCCGGATAGGTGGGGTCTGCGGTGAGGAACGAACGCTGTATTATCCTTTCCGGGGGCTAACGTGTTCACCATCACACCATGCTGGTCCTTCATTTCACCTGTCTCTTGGCTAGTTCTATCGATCAGTGTCATCAGCACTTTGGGATTTGGTCTCCATAGATTAATCCCATTGACAGGTGATTGCTGATGGCGCTGATCGATAAAACTAGCCGAGCGACAGGCAAGACGAGTGACCAGCATGGTGTGGTGGTGAACGCGTTAGCTCTCGGAAACAGTAATACCTCGTTCGTTCCCCACCGCAGACACCTGCTATCATAATTTGTTCAAATATCTCAGAATCATTTAGGTTACATACCACTAATATTTAAACGTTGAGAGTAGTGACGAAGAGCAGAAATGGAGAAAAGTGCACCTCAGCAGCGGGTGATTGAGTTGGTTCGAGAGGCTCATTTTTCCACACTCAGCAGAGGAACCCGTTGCGAAGTAAGCAAGCACTGCTTAACTATTCCAGAACGAACTGATCCAAGCCCGACATCGAGTGAATCAGGTTATCATGGGATCTCTGTTGCTGGTTTTTGAATTCACTTTCACTACGTTTCATAGTTGAATAATACGTCCTAGAAGACGAGAAACTTCGCGAAGAAGTGGTCACGGTGACTTTTTCCAGTGAACGATTACAAATCTCTGCTACGCGAAATTCGTAGCAATATGCTTAGTCAATCAGATTCGGCTCATTTTGCGCACATAATCTGCAGAGCTCTAGACTATTTGGTCATATTTTCGTCATGTCTTCTCGTTGATAGATAACACTTTTGCGGTTGTTTCTTGTTCACGTGTTTACCACTTACTAATTTTTCCACGATTTAATTTACAGTGACTTTTGCCTGACGAAAGTGATAATCTCGAAGCAAGATAAATGGCTGTCTTGATTTTTGAATTCAGATATCGACATCCTGTGGAAACAAGCAGGAATACCACGAAAGCTAGTGTCCATCGAACCGCTAATGTATGTCACTCACTGTTTCGTAGAGTTTCGTTCTGAAAATAAGAATATTCATGCCCGTGGATAAATGTCGTGTGTTCCAGTGAGCAATTGGAAACGATCATCTGAAGATATTTGAAGCCAACCCTTCGAGAAAAAAAAGTGAAAAAAGCCCTAAAAACAATTCGAAAACTTCACTGTTTTAGTACTAACCACCCAATGATAGTTACCCATTTGGAAACCACCTGGAAGAAAGCTGGAAAAAACTCGCTAAGTGAATATGATGAAAGTTGAAAAAGATTATTAAACATATGGTCGTTGCGAAGTGTGCTACTCAATTCTCCTGCAACAGTCATCCATTAAAACCTTGTATGACAATAAAGAACGTTCAGCTTAGGGTGGGACACCCACTCACCTCTTCCCTAGATATTACTAGGACTGAATATGTACAAAACGTTATTTACAATAATAATGATGCTTAAATATTTGTAAAACTCCGGACTGTGGGTGTCGGCAGTGGGGAGCGAACGCACTATTGCCCTTTCCGAGGGCTAACGTGTTCACCACCACACCATGTGGGTCCTTCGGTTCGCCTTTCTCTCAATCGTGTTTTGTAGGTGTATTATCAACAATCAGAAGAGCGGATGGCACAGTGGTAGTGATGTCCGTTCGCACGGGCATGGTGCTAGTTCGACTCCGCTCCATGCCACCAAGCCTCTCATCCCCCTAGAGTCGGAAAATTGGTGACGGAGTAGTCCAAGAAAAAAATCATTCTTTGCAGTCCGATTGGGAACGCTCCACCTCGGCTATCTCAGGACTCCAGGAAGGATCGCTCGACCAGCATTCTACGACACTCAAGATAAAATAAAAATCCTTAAGCAGCAACCGAAGCCACACGTAAAAACTTGGAAGATTTTCGTGGACGATGGATGCGAGGAAACGAATTGGATGTGAGTAGTGCTGGCATCCGCACAGTAGACACGTAGACAGATGAAATAAAATATAAAGTTAAGAAAATATCAGCAATCACCCGTCATGGTGATTGATCTGGAAAGCACAAGTCGGCATTGAACCCAGTTAAGCTGCATGGCCCCAGGCTGTATTTGAAATCACGACGTTAACTTTTTATTTGATGCTTACTACAATTTTCACAGCAGGGTCATCGGTTGCTACCAAGTGAACTACGTGAACACCCGAAAAGGGTTATCGGGGCTTTGAGGCCTACTTGGGATTCAGAGTTTTGCTCATATCTCATCATCCTTATGGTTATCTTTTGTTGCTTCCGTAGCAATTCTACTACCATCAAAACATTGACATCACTTCAAATACTTCCAAGTTGAAGAAGTTAACGAAACCCCTAGCGATTTTCGTCTCTGCACTATTTTCTTAACGTTTATATTAATAACCTATGCTGCTAGCTTTATCGTATAAAACCTTCTCGTATCTTATCGAAGTGATTACGTTCAGTTATTCTAATACTTCGCCTGGACCAATCCAAAATTGTTTGCACGAACTGGTTTTCAGTGCAAAGTTCTTCCATGTGTAGAAGTAGAACAGTGTTTACAGATGACTCTTCCTCGACTATTACAAATCGACAGCGAGAGGAACATGCCTGATATAATGCTCCGAAACACAGATACGAAAAATAAAAGATGAAGCGTGTTGTTAGTGTAGTGGTTAGTGATGACCCTAACCAGGAAACAATGGCGCTGGTTAGATCACAATGCTCACCTAAAGTCCACCTGGGAGCGCCTTAGCCCTGCTTTCCCCAAAACTGTAAGGAGCACGAACTCGGCTAGCATTCTACGAGATTCGTAAAAAAGAAATCCTGAAGTATCACTGGAAGCAACACACAAGAGAAGTACGAAGATAATTGTGAACGATGGATGCAAAGAAATGAATAGAATGGAAGAAGTGCTGAGATCCGCATACTTGATCTGATAATGGATCACAAAAAAAAAATAAAACAAATACTTTTTACTCCATCCGCATCATTAGGAAGCAACGAATATACTTACGAGTCAACGAATAGCTTCGGTCCACATGAATAGCACCGCAATCGCTAGGAAACTATGAAGTGCCTTGAGCAACCATTGGCTTCAGCCCCAATCTGACACCTCTCTTCAATAGACTTTTGCACTTGCTTGGTAGGACTGAGAAGATGTGATAGATAGGAGCGATGCGCAATGGAGACGAACTATATCGACAATGAACCGATGGATTTTATGCCGCTGCTGGTTCTTCTAGCGGAAATTTGGAAACGTTGGACTTAGTAAAAGCGTTTGCAAATACCTTACGAGAACTCACACCTGATGAAACATCCTCCTTGGATTTTTCAACTTCCAATATCCATTGAGTTAAATATTATGTAGCAAAATATTCATTATAAGAACAGTAAAGTCTAACACAGCAGGGTTTCAAAAAAAATTTCAAGCTGTCAGCATATTGCGTGGCAATTTATAACCACAAATTCTTCAAAAGTCCATCGTTTTCTTTTTCAGCAATTGCCAGGTTGTTATACAGCACCCATTCTACTTCCCTGCAAAAAACACAAACAATACAGCAGTACCTGTCAATTCGGCAGTATCGCCTTCTTCAGAGCTCTCGGCGTTGACCTGTCCCTGAAGGATGCGCGATGCATCCGACTTTACCAAGCATCGTTGGAGGTGATTGAATACATATCTGGCCTTTACAATGACCCACGGTGGACTACCGATGTATCCAGCCAGCGCTGCTATCCTCCCAGACAAATCTGGTAGCAATTTGCCGACACCGTAGGGATGGAGGCGTTGGTGCGCCACTGGCATGGAAATCGATCCCACGCGTACGTCGCAGGGCGCCTCCGAGCACTGCGCCACAAGCACCCATTTGGAACTGTATGCTGATGCGCAGTTTATTAGGCGAAACGCTTCAAGTACACATACAGAAAGATGGAAATCTTAATGAAAATCACATGATCAACAGCTTCTCGAAAAACCCGTCTTTTCTTATTCTCCAGTCCTACTAAATCGACGGGTGGCTGCATTAATACTTTATTACAATACTATACATACATTGTTATCATAAGATATAAAAAACAAGAAAATCTTAAACAGAAGTGTTTAACCAGTGGTTTTAGGAATTTGGATTTCACAGTGAATCCACTACGTTTCCTATGCCTTTTTTTCCTTCCTAGCATGAAATATTAAACGGTACAGCTTCCTAAAAATGAAAAGTAAGAACTTGTATGCAACGAAAATAATCGAAATCAAAACGGTAAACAAGAATGCGATAACATCAATAGAATGGTACTGGAAAAAATTAAGGTTGTTGCCAGCAGGAACTAAGTTCTCAAGAGATTTGAATTCAGCAACGAACTCCGCCCAAGCCACCAGAAGATGTTCAGCCTTCACTGGTCTCTTCTTAACCATGCTCGATAGTCGCTTGATATTTTGCGTGTAACTTAAATACAAACGACTTATAACAAATGCTTCTTGTCAACGCTTCAAAAGCCAAATTCTGCTTATACGATCTTACCTTCAACAAAGCTCTGTAAGGGAAAGGTTTTGATCAAGAACCCCAATTAGCATGAAAGGTTCCCACTAATGCAACGACATCTACGCTTAAAATAAATTTGCTTTCAGTGCTACCTAACACATGCGGTTTTTTGTGCTGCTGCACCATATGTGAATAGTGGTGCCTTAACGGGTACGACAAACAAAACCAGTTCAAACCTTTTCATTTTTCGCTGTGGTAATTTCGCTGCCATGGTTGTGGGTGGTTCCTAGCACGGATGACCACATCGAACCATTGTTTGCGTGCTCTTAATCCTTTAGCCTTCCTCAGCAATCGCCAGGTTATTAAACAGCATACGTTTACTTCCATTCAAAAACACACGTGCAACACAACCGCAGGTGACGTTTCGGCAGAATCGCCTTCATCAGAGCCGCTTTTCCACCTGTCTTCCACTAAGGAAGAAGAGCCGCACAGAGTCGCATACGGTTGACGACTCGCTGAATGTAGCGGCGGAGAAAGTAGATCTGTTGTCTACCTAAGGCGATCTTTTGTCTTAGTGACAGCGCTTAGTGTTTCGCTGGTACATCTTGTAACAGTTTCTAGGATCGAGATTCTATTAAACTCGGTACTGGATTATAAATCCGTCGTTTTCTTTCTCAGCAATCACGAGGTTGTTAAACAGCATACGTTTACTTCCATGCAATAACACACATACAACACAACCGTAGCTGACGTTTCGGCAGAATGACGACTCTCAACAATATGCGACTCTGAGCGGCTGTTCTTCCTCGGTGGAAGACAGGTGAAAAAAAACGACTCTGAAGAAAACTATTCTAGCGAAACGTTAGCTACGATTGTGCTGTATGTGTGTTATTGTATGGAAGTAAACGTATGCTATTGAACACCCTTGTGATTCCTAAAAAAGAAAACGACGAATTCATAATCCAATGCCGAGGTTAATAGAGAGTTGATCCTGGGAACCTTTAGCCTTCCTTTATAGCAACTTCCTCCTCACACAGGTCATTCGTGAAGGTGGCTGGCTTTATGAGTGAATTTTTTGGCCGCTTAATGTTCGCTCGCCTTATACAGATATTAAGACGTTTGGTGCAGATAAAGCGTGGTTTTCGTTGGATCCTCAAACTATTAAAGCTAGAGCATTTCCACATCTTCACAAGAAGTCTATGTCTTTCGTCGACCAACCAATTTTTCATAACACGTCCTCAAATTTCAAAGGTGGTGAAAGGATTGGATCACTAAACTTTGCCATAGGTACAGTTGAAACCATGAGTAGGTTGTTGAGACATTTTGGAGCAGATGGTGGGTTCGTTAATTGAGGGCCATCCTGAATGGCACCCATTTATAATTCCCAACCATTTGATGATTGAGTTTCTTAATCACCGTGCAGGATGCTATTCACACACATAGAAATGATTGAACCAAGGGCTCGCAGGTGTTCGTAATAAAGCGACTTCATATAATAATATGCAGAAAATAAAAAAGGAATAAGAACAAGCAAATTTGAAGCAGTGGAGCATAGCAGGTTTTCTAATATCATAAGTGCGATAACAATCTGACCTTTGATCACTGAAAAGCTCTTGAAGCGCATTCACAATGGCACTGACGGTAAGGTTGCCTTTTCTGAGATTCACAGCAATTCGATGCTTCTCGGCCAACATTGCATTCTTTGGTTGGTCGCCAAACAGCGCTATGGTGACCAAGGGAACGCCAGCAATGATCGCTTCCTTAGAAAAATAAACTTAAATGATCCTTTGATTAGTTGACATAGTTTCACTATTAACTTAAATGGATAGGAAAAAGTAATCACACACCCCACACTCGGACGGAATCTACTTATTGTATTTTTTCGTTTTACCCTGTTCATGGCTCCTTCGGCAAGTAAAATTGTTAAGAGTACAACGCTTTGGTGTTTAGTAAGCATTTATATTAATTTAGTTATTTACATCTTTTAAGGAGGAACATAACGCTATGGTTAGAAGTAACCGCAAAGTACATATGGTTCTACGTTCGATCTCTCGCCCAGGGCTAAACAAGCTCTCGATCCTTCCACAGTCGACGAACTGGTGCTAAGCTTTCCTGGAAGTATTAAGCACCGATTTGATATATCGGCAAAAACAGCACTACGGCGCGTAATGATGTCGATTTCGTGGCACATCTCCAAGGGATTGATTAACGCTGAACGCCTTGTCTCACATCCTTTATATGGAATACTTTTGGCTCGTTTTTATCCAGGCCGTAGCTTCCAGACAAAGTTCCATGTCTTTTGAAGCGAAAACTTCCACCTATATTCCCAAATGTATTTTTCTGCTCATTTTTCTCCCATATGAGAATAAAAATGGGAAAAACAAGTTCAGAATACTCAAAAACACTTCCACACGAACTTTTATTTGGATATAAAGCTGTCGACGCGGAAAACAATTTCTATATTGTGTTTCGCTAACGACCAGTGACGTTTGCGAAGAATCCATGATGGACAAGAAAGCGTCGACGGTAACCATTCGAAGACGCTAACTGAATCATATCCACTCATAACCATGTGAGGGTTTGAAAAAAATAACAGCAGGTTCAGCAACAGTTTGGAAGGATCCTAGTTAAATTGAGAAGTAAAAAAGAATTGGCAGATGAGTGCTACAAGAACCGAATAAAAAGCGAAGAGATTGCCGTCATAAAATCTGTTCTGTGTTCTCTTTCGCAAAACAAATGAGCCTGTAGCTTGATCTCACCGTATACTGTGCTAAAAAATTTGGCTCTATAAGGCAATCGAAAACTTCGTTTCTCTGAGTTTACAGCACATCCCAAAGCCAAATTTCCATTGGAAAGCTATGACGAGTTTTTCTGCTCGGCAGGTAAGATTGTTCACTTTTATTTTAGAACAACTTTCGAGGTCACTAGAAAAAGTAGTACTTCGACAATTTGGATACTTGGGTGGTCCATCTACACAGTTAGTGTGGCCGCAAGTATACCTTCCATCGACATTTACGGTGAAGGTTTGCTAAGAAAATAAAATCTGCCATGCACAACCCGTGACACACGTTTCCATCTGCGAATGCAGATGTCTGACGCCAATGACGAAAACATACGCCTACCATTTAGATGGTCGCAACGAAGGACGGTTGCACCACTTCGAGTCCACTTCATAGTTCTTTTCGCTGCTCTGTCATTTATTGCATGACCGGCCAATGTATGTTTCACTATCGATGTATACTCTCCAGTTTCACCAGCATGAAACGGGTTTCGCGAAGATTTGAGCTGCGCATTCTCCCTATACGTTCAACGTGCGGTTAAATCTCATAAAGCATCTTTCAAACGTACTTTATACAATGGGAAGTTTCGCACATAAAAATATCAGTCCAAATCTCTGCTCCATAACGAAGTGCGGGAATAGACGGCGAATCCATGAAGGAATGGGGAAGTTTCTGGCTTGTCAAGTTGTCGGTGGCTTCTTTGAGAAACCCGTGCACTGGTGCCGCTTCTCTTCTTCTTCAGTGTAATTCCGCATTCATTTTATTCTCCGCAATGAACGCCCAAGTACACGGTCATTGCAACCGAAGAACAATCTACTCCGATTTGTTCATCTTCGCATGATGGGTTTCTAATGAAATAAGCCTTCTTCTTAGCTATAACAGCTTTTTTACATACTTGCTTGATCTCATGCAGATCGTCTCTACTTCGATCACACTGGTCCGAATGACGACGACGTCACAGATTTTACCACCAATGCCATTCCCGTCCTAGTCGTCCCAATACATTACCCATTGCAGTACAGCTGCAAAGAGCTTGGCACAGTGTTGCCTTGTTGGAGCTCTTTCTATATGGGGATTGTAGAGAGTCAGTGAAAAATTGTATTACTAATACTATTACGTAATTTTGAAATACCATTACGATATCACTTAGCTAGATCCATTGTGGAAGACGTGGAGACCTGTTGGTCAAGGAGAGCTGGTAGGACAGCAGTCGTTTCCAAACTGTCAAATGCTTTTTCATAGTCGAAAAAAATCAGCACTAGAGACAGGTAGTTTTCTTCGAAAAACTTCTATGACCTTGGGCACGGTATGGATGTGATCATGAACGTCGAACGGTTTATGTTTTTTAATCGTCATTGTGAATGAATAAGTTTGCTTCTTTGCATAGTGTGCAAGAAAGTTTCGAAGTACAAGAGAAAATAATTGCTACGCATGAGGTGGAAGAGATAAAGTTGTAGATGATAGTGAAAAGGTGATAGGGCAATAGAGAGGAGCAATTGAACAAGAAACAAGAATTCGAAAAGATTGTTTAAATTTTCCATTTATGGCTGCTTCGTAATAGGTAAAGGATAAAGGACACGTGTGGCGTATGGCTGCTTGGCACTTCTTTAAAAGAACTTGGGCCAACCTGTAAACTATTATAGCCTCCATGAGAAATGAACGCTTTCGTTTTAGGATGTGCTAAAAGAGCGGTTTGAGGCAACCATTTGAACACGTACACATTTGGAGGAAGCTGATCTAAAAAAGTTATGTAAAAAAAATCATAACAATGAGGACAGTGGAAGCCAAAAAAGTACAGCCTTCCAGATATAACAGCCTAAAGAGTAAAAATCGAGAAACCTAAATAAAAGTCTAACACTTCACCTTGCAAGTCTGTTCCTTCATATTTCATGACGAAGTGGTGTTTTGGAAAGCTCTTGAAAGCATCGAGAAAAGTTTTTTTCCACACCAGTGGCATCTTGTGACTAGGAGCAACGGAGCCGAAGGAAAACACCACCAATCCCACACCAGCGTCTATTTTTCGTTGAAACTCCTAAGATTAGCTCTTTAATACATATAACCCAATGACTTCATTAAAATATTTGCAACAACACGTTGCTCGTGACGTTTGACGGTTGTCACAATGGACGACACTTAATTTCTCGCCCGTTACGCACTGCATTAACGTTTAAATGCGTGGTCTGTTGTGCACCCGAAAAAAAAGGCACTGAGCGGCGTTTTTGTTAACAACGATGTTTGCGCGATTCTGTTGGCACAAAAAGCAATCAATTATCAAGAAACTCTATGTTACATTTGTGCCAGAGATAGCGTTATGTCCTCTTCGTTTATTGCGTTCTGCCCAACCGAGATACCCTTACATTCTGGTCAACAGCAAAGCTCTCTGCAGCTTGGCGAGAAACCTCGTCCAAAAGCATATTAATTTTCAATGTAGAATGTATTTTTTACGTGACAAGGTTAGACATGCTATCTGCTGGATAAAACAGGATAATAAAAGGATAAAGGACAAAGCTCTCGGTGTTGATTAATCCTTGAGGGATGCGCCATGCATTCGACGTCATTAAACATCGTTTGGAGGTGACAGAATGCATATGTGGCCTTTACAATGACTCGCGGTGGCTTACCGATGTATCAAGCCAGTACTGCTATCATCCCAGACAGGTGTGGTACCAATTTGCCCTCCCCGGAAAGATGGAACGTTTGGTGGGCCATAGGCGTCGGGATCGATTTCACATGTTGCAGGGCGCCTCCGACCATTGCGTCATACGCGCACTGATAAAATAGGAGGCAAGAAAATCCATGAAACGAAAGAAACTAGAGGAAAGAAAATTCGTTGAAAATGACATTTGTTATCAGTTGTTATTCATGCTCGCATCGAAATTAATGCAGATTGTCATCGCTATTAACCAAGCAACCAAGGTGCATATAAGGGACTTACAGCAGGTAGAGTATTGGCCTCCTTAGATTCCATTCCCACACCGCCAATGTTCACAATTTTTGCCAGTGTTGGTCTTGGTGCCTCGTAAAGCTCGTTAGAGTTTACCATTACCTCAAATTGGATTACTGAATTTACTGAAACGATTACTAGATAATAGAGTAAAAATGGAGTAAAACGACTATGAGCTTTAAGAAAGCGCTCTAAAGTTGTGTCTATGAAAAGGGATTTGCAAGCTTCACCAGTGGACATTGTTTCATAATATCGACAATATCGGGAAAGTTTGGATCAATCAGCTTGCGGAAAAGGTCGGTCTCAGGATCGACAACCATTCTGAAATAAAATTAATAAATGCATCACCAAAACAATATTGACCACAGAATTAACGTCGGCCAGTTGGAATACAGCTGAGAAAAATGATAACTGGGTTATCCCAAAAAGACATTTCGCACGGCAAATCCACGTCTGTATCCACAAAAAGCATTTGCAATCTAACCAAATCTAGTGGTGAATTAGTCCAAGTCGTCCCGGAGTCGCTCCACAAGCTTATTTCGTAACCTATTGTATTTCTTTATTATTTCCATAACTTGATTTATTTATTGTTCCTATGCACCGCTACGTGGCACTGAGGCACGTGTGGTGCAGTGGTCGGAGGCACCCTGCAATACACACGAGATTGGTCCCCGCTCCTTAGGCATACCAAGCCGTTTATCCTTCCGCGATAGGAAAATTGGTACCAGACTTGTCTGGTAGGATAGCAGCACTGGCTCGATACATCGGTAGGCTCTCGCGAGTCACTATGAAGGCCAGCATGCATTAAATCACCTTAAAACGATGTTTCATGAAGTCGAATGAATAACTCATACCTAAGGGATTGATCAAGGCCGAGAGCTTTATCCTTCACCCGATAGAGATTTCCTTCGTTAAAGGATTCTCTGCGATTTATTTGAGTATAGCAGATATTAGATTAAACGCTGATCTAAAGCGATATTGTGCTTCGATGAAACTTAGATAGGTCCATGGAAATGTGCGCATATAGGTTCATTTGTGGGTGTACCGGTGCCCTTTCGTTTACGCATATTGTATCCTACAAGGCAGTCTGGTGAACAGCCAAGAGTCCAGTGATCAATAAGTAAATGGATGGCGCGCTACGAGGCACCTCCAACAATTAAGCCCCACTTCTACTACGGGAGAGGTTGGCAAGTCAACGGCAGGTACATCCAGCACTCATGTCGAGAGCTCCTCAAACTGTAAGTGGGCATCAAAATCGAAATTATGATCAAATAAACCACACCACAAGGCATATGTGCTGGGGTCCACACAGGTCGTGAAGGTGGACCGTCCGAGTAACCAAGTAAGTAAGCATAGACCACACCACAAAGTTCGAAGATTTTCCCAACCGATATCGCTGACGATTCAAAATTTTACAACGCATCAGTCCGTCTTCTTTCTTCTGGATTCCATTATCTCACGGAAAGCGGAGAAAGCCGCAAAACTGGCTAAACCAAATCCCATTAAAATGTTCTCAGTGTTGATCAATCTCTGAGAGATACGCCATACATTCTACTTCATTAAACACCGTTTGGAGGTGATTGAATGCATATCTGGACTCGCGGTGGCCTACCGATGTATCGAGCCAGTGCTGAAATCCTCCTAAGCAAGTCTGATACGAATTTGCTCAGCCCGGAAAAATGGAAGGCTTGGTGGACCATGGGTAAGAGGATCGATTCCACGTGTGTGCTGTAGGGCGCCTTCGTTCACTGCGCCACACGCACCCCTTCCAAATCTCGCAGCTGCCATGAATTGGAATTTGTTCAGAATCACTAGTCGGCTCTTGGCGAAATGCCATTCTTTACAATATCGATGGAACCTTACAACCATCTTGCTCAACAACTTCGCGTATGTGCTGAGAAATCCAAGGATTCGAAAATCACAAAGACATGCCTTGCATCAGAAACACTCGAGTTAGTACGCCAAAATGGAACAGCACGAGCCATAGAAAATCGCCATCAAAGCTTAAAAATGTTGCACAAAGGCACCAAAAATCACCCTAGAGAGAAAATTACGAGACTAAAATGTTCGCATTGTAACGCTGAGAACGGGTCTCTTCAAAACCCAGGCCTTTCCGCCCTCGTATGAAATTGAGAAAAATGGATATGTCTCCCATCCGAACTCCAACAAGTAGAGTATTGAACACCAGTTGATTCAGACAGGATAACATCCAACATCTGCAGAAGTTTTCGCCAAACTTCATTAACACACTAGCTCAACTCTTCTCACGTTACTTGTCAGAATAGAAGAATGGTGGTTGACATTCATAGGAAGACCAGAGACACTGATTGGCAGAACACTGGGCGAAGGAAATCCTTGTGTGCAAGCAAGGTTTCGAAAAGGACTCAGTACAACGAACCACCTCCACACCATACAAGACTCATTGAATATCACGAGACTGCAAAGGACAGCTTCTTCTCAATTTCAATGGTTTAAAGAAAGCTTTTGATTCAACTGAGATAGAAGTTATGCAAGTGGTAGAAAGATTCTTCGTAAACTTTATAAAAATTCCACACGCAAGATATCACCATTCTACAACGATATTAGCATTAACGTCAAAAGAAGGGATAGGAAAGGCGATATCATATCGCCAAAATCATCTACCGCCACACTCGACAACGTATTGCGCACGTTGGGATTGCACAACATGGGAGTGAAAATGGTCAGCAATTACACCATCTTTCATCATCTCTTGGTAATGAAATTGTCCTTATAACAAGAAATATTAACCAAGCGGAGCAAATGCTTGCCGACTTCGACGCTTGTGGAAAGGTTAGTTCTCGAGTACATCTAAAAAGAACATTGTTCATGAAGTACGGATCCGTTTCGTGGCTCCATTCACGCTCAGAGAAGCGGACATCTTCGAATGCACCACGTACGGTTATCTAGGGCTAAAAAACAACATGATTAACGACTAAGCTCCAGATTTGAGCAGGATGAAGCGATAGGCTTAGAGATCAAAGGCATCGATCATTTAGTGAAGAGAACAAAAAGCACCAGACTCCGTGCTAAGCTTTTCGAATGGATGATTTCTCCTGTCTTGACACACACGTTGAAAACCTGGTCGCTATGCAACTAGGATGAAGGATCACGCAGCGCTATCGAACGCATAGTTAAGAGGACGGTACTGGAAATATCGAGAACCATGAAAATGAAAAAGGGAGCCCAATTCCTTATCTAAGTCAACAGTCAGAAATACAGGATATCCTTCTATACGCGAAATTGTCGAAGGTAGGGTGGGCCGGACACATGCGTCTCAACCACAATAGATAGACAAGAGCCGTTAGTGACTGGGATTCTCGAGATGTCAAACACACAGCAGAAGGACCATCGACCGCGATGAGATGATGATTGATGAGATGATGATGATGATGATGATGATGATGATGATAAGATGAAAAATGATGATCGATGATTGTCAGAGTTCTTCACGAAAAGCCCAGAAGAAAAATATGATACTCAGCGAGTGCGCTACTTTTACGTGAGACAAAAATAAATACAACCTTTACTGGCGCGCGGTCCAGCCAATCGACGATCAATGGGACTAAAAGTGATGCAATTGGTTCGATTACGTATATTGTACAGATACCAGCCCTTCTTTCACTCGACTAATTTTCTAATATTCATCAGCAAAAAAAGTTTTTTATTTGGGTGCACGTTAGGCTCCCACTAAATGACTCTGTCTTCTCAGCTTCCTGAATATCGTTAAATCCTATTCTAACAAAACTGTTTCTAGAATTCTGGAATACTTCTGTTAGAGCGTTTGAGGGTCATCAGAACTAAATTTTCGCAAACAAGTTTGGTTGAGCTTCCTCGTTTCCGGAAGAGTGGGAGAGGAGCGCTTGGTCCCAGCTGAGGGATCGAACAGGATATCCGGTTAATCGGAACTTAATGCAAGATTTGACTCCGCATCTTTAAATTGGCACATCATAGTCTGGAAAAGACTTTATTATTGATTTCATTGATTAGAATCTACACAACTTTTCGAGTAAGGGATTTATTCGGATTACATGAAACTCTGGAGCTTTACATATACAAAGTACAGAATTCGAAAAAGTCGTTACCAATCAAATAAAGAATAAAAAATAATTTCCGTGTTAATTTCCAAACAACCTAATAGCATGAATGTAGTATACTATCGTTTCTCAAACGGCCTGCAGAGTCTCTAACATCATTAATGCATGAATAATTATTTAGATTAACATGAGTACTTGAAAATAAGAAATTCACCCGTATCACCTGCAGTCCCATTGATCATCGAGTGACTCAAGCGGGCGCCAGTAAATCTTCCAATTTTTCCCTGTTGCGTTCAAGAGTAGCCCAGTAGGTTCTACTCGCTCTAAGGACTCGTCGACCATTACGACTTTTTTGTAGGCTCGCGTAAAGAACTCTGACCATCGAGTCGGTGGTCTTCCTGTAGTGCGTTTACCATCCCGAGGAATCCAGTCACTGACGGCACTTGTCCACCAGTTGTCATTCAGACGCATTACGTGTCCGGCCCACCTTATCTTCGACTGCTCGGCGTGCAGAACGACATCCATGAATTTTGATCGTTGACGCAGATCGGAGCTTTGGATCCCATCCCTTACTTGTGTCAAACGGGATACTCCTAGCATCGTCCTTTCGACTGCGCGTTCAATAACGTTGAGTGATCGTTCATCCTGCATACGCGCGACCAGGTTTCTGAAGCATACGTTGGGGCAGAAAGTACCGTTGAGTCGAAAAGGTAAGCACAGAGTCGGGTGTTCTTTATTCTCTTCCCTACATCCTCGATGCTCTTGATAGCCACCCAAGCTGCTCGTTTCCTTCTGCTCAACTATGGAGCTCAGTCTTTCAACAAGTTGATTTCCCGACCTAGACAGACATAACTGGAACTTTCGGAGACATTCCTTCCGTTGAGCGTGAACGCGGAATATAAAATCAATCGATTCCTCATAAACGTTGTTTCTGTAAGATTTAGTAGAAGACCAATCTTTCCACAGGGTCTATCAAAGTCGGCAAACATACGTTCCGCTTGGCTAATGTTTGGTGCTATAAGGACGATGTCATCAGCAAAGCGAAAATGGTGTAACTGCCGACCATCGATTTTAACTTCCATGTTATTCCATACCAATGTTTGCACGACGTTCTGGAGGGTGGCGGTAAATAGTTTTGGCGAGATGGTATCGCCTTGCCTAACTCCTCTTTTGACGTCAACGTTAATATCGTTGTAGAATGGTGATATCTTGCTTGTGAAATTTTTGTACAACTCACGAAGAACCTCTGTACACTGAGTAGAGAC